CCTCCGCAGAGCCTGCGCGGCGCTGTGGGCGACTATCTCCGCGGCGCACCGGCGCCCCCACCCTGGCCGCCCCGACGCGCTCCCGTTGGGCGCAGATAAGGACGCGGCTGGGGCTTGCGCGGCCCACGGGACCGCCCACTCGGGTCCCTCTGGCTGCCCGCCGCGTCCGCCCCGGTGTTCCGGCGAGCGCGGCTGGCGGGCCGGCGCTGGCGGGACTCGCGGCGCCCTCTGAGACCTGGAAGGGGGCTCGCGGCGGGGGCGGCCGAGCCGGTGGAGTTCTGGTGAGTGACCATCGGCGGGGCGCGGGGCTGGGCGCGGAGGGAGGCTGGGGACCGCTCGCCCAGGTATAGACCTAGTAAACTACCATGTATCCGCACTAAATTGAAAGAAATCGGGCCCCCGGTGCGCTCCACGCCGAGTGTCCCCAGGACTTAGTGGTCAGTTTTCAAACATCTGCACAGAAACTACCGCTAGTGTTCGGCCGTCTGTGACCCCCCTCTGGTGACCCACAGTTGGCTTCCTGGGATGAGTAGCCAGCGTTCCTTCCCTCTCTCTGGAGCATCTTTTGGCACTCGTGTGCATTTTTTCTTGGTTTCGGGACAGCGAAACTGAAAATGTACATTCAAAACCAGGCGCTCTTCCTCTGCGCTCGGCGTTGCTGTCCGGGCATCTGTGAATGTTTGCGTCGTGCTGCGTTGCGGATGGAGCACGGTGACTGGACACGCGTCGCCCTGGGTTCTTTCGCCGCTACCTGGGGAGCTAAGGTGAAGAGTCGGATTTTCCAGCTGCGGTCCGACTCTGGTTGTACTGACCGACATTCTTTGTTTAATGATCACGGAAGGTTTTGAAAGGTGGTGGCTGAGGAGCTTTTTCCCAAGAGTTAATAGAGTGAGAGCAGAAATTCCATATTTTAGAATTGCCTGTACTTTCCCCCACCCCTTCCTCTCCCCCAAATAAAACAGGGCTGTATGTTCCTCTGCCTTCCTCTCTGCAAACCCACCTTGCTCTGTCCCGATCTTATTAGAAGCTGTGGGCCAGCCCTTCCTGCCCACACCTCACCTGTGACACATGCCAGGAGTCAAGGGGAAAGGTTTTCTGGCAGGTTTTCCTTGGCGTCACTTTTGATTACTGTTGACCAAGGGAGTGAGTGACCAGCTGAGCAACAAGGCCCTACTGGTCCTCTTTCAGGAAAGCCCTGAGCTCTAAACTGACTACAGGAGCATGTTTTCCTCTTAAATACACCGTGAGATGAAGCCTACATACCCATTCTTCTTCTGTGCTGCCCTCTCCCTTCAAAAGAATAGAACTCTAGTGATGTTTCTGACACCAACTGCAAAGGAGTGCAGGCTCTTTAGGTAAGAGAGCTTAGGAGGGGGCCAGAGGGCTGTTCACCCTTGTGAACACGCTCATTCTAAGCCTTTTTGCTTGCCAGTTAACTAAAGGTTAAGTACAAGATCACAGCATCATCTTATTGAAATTTCCCATAGTTAAATCACTCAAATACACCTCTGATGGGTCACGATTAGCACTCAGGGGACTTGAGGAAAAGTTCTCATCTTCAGAGCCCAACAATGACAGCTCTGCATTTTACTCAGGGCTGGGCATTTGTAAGCCTTAGCAGCTGCCCCTCCTGCTGCTGAGGCCTCCAACCTGTAGGTGAGATGTTAAATACAAGCTGTCTCTGTCTGCCCGGGGGAGATTGATGGGACAGTGACATTTTCCAGACGGAGCTGGGGCTAAGCCCATTGTCCCTGTTGGTGCCAGCTGTGAGAAACAGGCAGTGAGTGCCTGTTAGGGGTACAGCACCACCTGCATTCTCCTAGCATACCTGGAGAGAATGTGTTTGCATCTTCACTGTGGACAGTACAGTGAAGCACTATAAATTAAATATTCTTTGTGCAACCTCTATTTTAATTTCTCATGTGACTGTGGAAAGGGTTCGAATTCTGTCTACACTCTCCCTTTCCTGCTACCTCTTTGACACGGGAAATCCTGGCCTGGGGGAAGCCCTGTTGAAGTAAGGGTAGTAAAAGTATTATTGTCTTAACTAATCATTGCTGGTGAACTAATTAATTAGAAGCTGTTGGGATCACTTCTCTGCCTTTTGGCTAAGATCAAGTGCAGATGCTGTTAGGGGGCCAGGATTTTTACCCTAGGAAAAAATTAACCAGACAACATACCAGGGACAATGTTATATATTTTCTCTTGTCCTTTAAACTTTTTTTTTTTTTTTTAAGAGACCGGTCTCACTGTGTTGCTCAGGCTGGTCTCAAATTCCTGGCCTCAAGCAGTTCTCCCACCCTGGCCTCCCAAAGTGCTGGAATTACAGGCATGAGCTACCACAGCTGACTGTCTCTTAGACTTTTAAAAATAACATTCATTCTCAAGATGAGGCAGTGGTTAGAATCATGCCAATGCAGAACTAACGTGTCACTTTTTACTTTGACAAGCTTTTATCTAGTACTTCCTCTGCAAAGCACAATACTCACAAAGCATCCTTTTGGGTTTCGGTGTTAGGAGACAGTGATGTTGCACAATCTTTGAGTGTATAGTCTTTATTAGTATCTCTGTATTTGCTTTGTGAGGTTTAATGGCACATCTGTACATATACAGCACTGAATGAGTTATTGCTTTCTAGGTTGGAGACTTTTTTAGCTTATTGCCATTCTTAAGAGGGATAATCTGTAAACAAGTCAGCATATCTGGAATTGGAGGTGAATTGAGGATTAGCAGCTCTTCTATACATGAGATATTTTATGTACAGAAGTATTTTAAAATATGTAAGGATAAACTGCCAAAATTACCTGTACAGTCTTGAAAAAGAAGAGTTCAAATATAACTATAAACTGTAATTGACAATGAGTCATTTGCTTTAGGGGTGCCAACTATGAAAACAGCCTAGTTATGCCCCTACTGATAATTATGAAAACTCCTTCTAAAAGCCAGTTGCATCTCAAGTGAACTGTAACTCAGCTTGGATAAATATTTTCAATTTTACTTATTTGAAAATTATCCTCTGGTGATGGTTGCACAAAACTGTGAATGTGCTTTATGCCACTGAATTGTACACCTAAAAATGGCAAAACAAAAAAATTATCCAATTAATGGTTGGCAATGCCATTTTCTATGCATATACAGGCAGTTTTCAGAATTAAAATATTCAAATGTTCCATAAAAATAATTTTATGTAGAGATAATTAATATATAATTACTGAGCACTGGAATGTAGAGACAATTTAATACATAATCACCGAGCATTGAAAAAGAACAAATCTCACAAACCATAAACTTCGATAGCAAAGAATGGAAATATTAAAAGTATGTTTCCAGCAGCCAGGTGTAACTTGGCATCTTATCTATAAACCCAGTACATATTTTAAAGCAAATGTCATGCTTGTTAAAATAAAGGGAAATCATATGCACATACGATACCAGTTTGTTATTGTTATTATAGTTAACTATGTACCAGGCATCTTGGTAAGGACTATACATGTGTTAGCTCATGTATTCTTATACAAACCAATGAAACAAATATGTCCTAATATTGCAGATGAGGATTCTGAAAGTTAAACAACCTACCTTTGCTCAGGTCACACATCTAGGAAGTAGCAGAAATGGGTTCTGAGATAAAGCAGTCTATTTCTAGAATCTCCACTCTCCTTCCCAAGGCAATCCTGCCTTTTATATATTGTTCTATATAAAAAATTTCATAATACTTTAATTAGTAATAGCAGTTTATGCCTGTATAATCCAGTATTGTTTAACCAACTTGTGTTTGTAAGTATGGGCTTTGACAGTGATGCTGTAAAAAAATAATTACACCCAGAAGTCCAATGTAAAAAGCCCCTCTCTATGGCCCTTTGTGATCTGGAGGAAAAAGACCCCTTTCACGCTCCCACCTGGTAGCCTACACAGGGTCTCTTCCTTCACACCCCCACTTACCTGTCCTGATGTCTGAAGAAATGTAGTTGTTTTGACCTCTGTTTCATATCAGGTCAGAAACAACCCAACACCAAAAACAAACATTTAAAGTTCCATAAAAATACAAGCCACCAAAATAAGTTGGTGACTGTGTGGATCAGGGACAACATGTGGCAGCATGTCCTTGTGTGTGTCTCTTCTTTGCTATAAGTGTCACAGAAGAAGCAGAAGAGGTAGGTGATGGTTTCCAAAGAGTGGTTTAACTGGAATCCAAGACGATAGCATCGAAAGGAGTGATAGGGGTCATTCAATGTAGCCTCCTAATTTTACAAATGGGAAAACTCAAGCCTAGTGAGGCAAAGTTACTTGTCTAAAAATTATAAGCAGTAAAGCTTGATTTAGAGCTGGAACCTTTAATACTCAGGTCTGCCATTTTTTACTCTCTTTGAGGAGAAGCCACATCACCTAGTGGAGAAGGAACGTGGTGGCCCTGACCCCAGGGAAATGAGCTAGGCCATTATTTTGTCATCCTCATGCCCTGCCTGTTCTGTACAAGGTAGAAGATGCCTTTTGACCTACTGATTGGTAGGAAACATGTCCAGACTGGAAAAAGGCAGGGTCACTAATGCCTAATGGTTCAGCAGTTTGGGCAGTTTCCCTAGGGGTTGGGTATCCATTGCCTGAAGAGAATGAACCAGTAGTTTATTCATGAAGTGAACAATACTTGTTGAACCTATAGGCTCTCGATAAATATGTTTTTTATTCATTAATGGAAGGTTTCCAAATTGGACTTATTGGTGCTGCTTAGGCAGTATTTCCAGATAGTAAAATTTGGTTCACATTTAGAAAAGTATTAATTCCTTCTAATGTACTTTGGGGGGTGTTGCCCCTCACTGATGTTAATATCTAACTAATATGGGAGGATTGGCACTAGCCTCTGAAGGGAAAAGCTAGTATAAAAATATGTTTGCCTGTACTAATTTTACGCTTGTTTTGTCTTGGTAGGTTTGGAAGATGACCTGCAGCACAGTTGCCCTTTTTTGTGGCAGCAGATAGCCGGTGCAAAAGTATGGCACAAGTTTGATGTTTGTGTCTGCTTCCCCAAGGTCAAGAAATTATCTCCTCAGAAGATAGCAGTACTATGCATGTTACGAATTGTGTCTCCTTGGTCAGTGATAAAGAAAATGGGACTATCGCCACAGCAGCTGGATTCATGATTGGGGAAACACCACCTCCAGCGGCTCCTCCACCTCCTCCTCCACCCCCTCCGCCTCTGCCATGTCCATATTTAGGGGAGGGATTTCCTCCCTCTCCTCCTCCACCCCTACCGCCTCCACTACCTGGGGGACCTCCTGTCCCACCTCCCCCTCCAGGACCACCCCCAATTTCTCACATGAACGGCTACAGCCACCTTGGTAAGAAAAGGCGGATGAGAAGCTTTTTTTGGAAAACCATTCCAGAGGAGCAAGTTCGTGGCAAAACCAACATCTGGACCTTGGCAGCCAGGCAGCAGCATCACTACCAAATCGATACAAAGACCATCGAGGAGCTCTTTGGGCAGCAAGAAGACCCCACCAAGTCTTCCCTTTCTAGGAGAGGAGGAACTTTAAACTCATCCTTCAGGGACACTCGAGAAGAGGTAAGAATGGAACATGGAGGGATAATCCTTAACACACTGACTGCATTGTCGGGGCCTTACATGATAAGCTTGAGCTGAGCATCGCAGAAGTGTTTAAGTGTGTGTGCCATATCCTCCCAGACTTCGCGGTGCATTATGACCTCATGCACAGAACATGCTATTTGGGGCATTGGTCTTTGGCCTCTCAGCACTGCCTTGTCTAGCACATCTGCTGAGGGTTCCCATGGTGGAGAAATTCTACTCAAGTCCCCTATTGTTAGCATCTGTTGAAACAAAAGGCTGAGTTCCTGAAGTTGGTTATCTGGGATGAACTGGAGCTGTCTGGGACAAAATGCCTTTTGTTCAATAACATCAACTAATATCCATCCTTAGGATTTTATCCTTATTTTCCTCTTCAGTTTTTCTTTAGCAAGTCTTTTGAGATGGCCCTCATTCCCCAGATCCTGAATTAAGATATGACCATTGTGGAACAGAGATTTCCAGAGAGCCAAAACATAAAGCTATTTTCAGGTAGAATTTATAGGAAGCATGTTTCAATTAACACTAAATGTGTTACTTTGAGAAAATAAATAAAGCTGTTAAAGTATAAGAAGTTAACTGAAAGCATAACTCCAGAGCTGCAGATCTCCATATATTATAGAAAATGAATCAAAAATTGCATTTGTGAATACAGTCAGTTTCAAAACATGAAAGTAAATTAAGAAACCTCTACTTACTAGAAGAAATAATTAGGAAATTAAGGATTAAAAGGGAAGAATGTTGCCCACAAAACAACAACAAAAACAACAAAGGAGAAAAAGAAGAAAAAAAGACAACATAAATCCATCATTTTTAAAAATCCGTTGTAAAGAAGCAGAGAAAATAGGTCAAAGATGGAGGTGATTAGATAAGAGAGTGGGCAGGGCCCTGGGATGAAGTAGCAGCTCTCTGCATTATTGAATTCTTGAGCCAGCAATATTGACCTCTTTTCTCTTTCTGGCTCATGTTAACTCCTTCTCTCCACTAATTCACCTGGGGGCCCTTAAAGCTGGTTGTATGGTCCGCTGTTGAAATAGCCAAGAATCTATTTATTATGAAATCCAGAGAACACTGGGATTAAAATTAAACATGAACTGTGAAATAAATTTGAGAAGGAAATCTTCAAGAGAACCCTTAGTGCCTTCAGTGCTGAACACAGGCTTTCCTGTCTCTTCCTTCTATGCAAAGTCCTTTTATTTGTTAGAGTGTCCTTTCAATGTTGGAAGGAGCAAGAAGTCATTTCCTTAGTACCCTGGCCTTTGCCCCAGCTCCCAACAGAGGTTCTTTATTGTACAGTAAGTCATTTCTCACCATTGTCTCCTTGCTCTCCTTACTGAAATACAAGAATACTGAAGAAATGGTGGGAAATGAGGCGTATGTCTCAGGGCTCCTGTAACAGGAGGGGGTTAGCTCACCATGTCCCCGGGAAGGCAGCTGGCAGGACAGACTAGCTGGCATAATTTGTGAATTAGGAAAGTTTCAAGGGACTACAGGGGAACTTGCTGCTTTATGTTTGTGAATTAAAGAGAGATTAAGAACCGCTCAGGGAGTAAAGTGGCATCTTTTCCCAACTGTGGCAGAAGCAGAAATGTCCGTTTTCAGGCCAGATCTAAAATTCAGGGAAAAAAAATCTCTCTTCTCACCTCCCTCTACCCTTGCATCCTAGGTAGATTTCTACTTTTTTAAAATTTAACTTCCTCTTTTAAGAATTCTTTTTTAAAAATAGTTTCAAAATTATTTTTAATTGCGGTAAAAAAAATACATGTAACATAAAATTTACCATCTTAACCATTTTTAAGCGTACATTTCAGTAGCATTAAGTACATTCACATTGTCGTGCAGCCATCACCATCATCCATCTCCAGAACTCTTTGTATCTTACAAAACTGAAACCTGTATCCATTAAACGATAACGTCCCATTCCGCTCTCCCCCAGCCCCTGGCAACCGCCAGTCTACTTTCTGTCCCTGTGAATTTGACTGCTCTTAGTACCTCCTATAAGTGGAATCACACAGTACTTGTTTCTTTTGTGACTGGCTTATTTCACTTAGCATAATGTCCTCAAGGTTCATCCATGTTATAGCACGTGTCACAATTTTAAGGCTAAATAATACTCCACTGTGTGTATATACCACATTTTGTTTTTCCATTCATTTGTCCTTGGACAGTTGAGTTGCTTCCACATTTTGGCTATGGTGAGTAATGCTGCTACAAACGTGGGTGTACAAAGATCTTTACCTTCAACATTTGTAGGTCCTAATCTGAGACACAGCATACTAGAAAGAAAAATTAAATTACCATGACTGTGTATCATAAGATAATCTAACTCATCAACTCTTCAGTATTCAGGTATAATAAGTAGTTTAGATTGATCCATTTAAATGCATGTTAGGTAATATTGTTGCATAACAGAGGTTATCCAGAATTATGTTCAGTTTTTCGTGTTATTTCCAACCTGGCTTGAAGTATTATATAAACTTTTTTTCAGTAAAAGAATATGGTACGTGCGACTTCCTTCCCTTCTTAGATTTTCTTCTAAAGAAGTTGTAACTCAGCAGAGTTATAATCTGACAAAGATCAGTAATAAATCTTCCAACTCACTGCAATAAGTAGAGTCCAGGGTCAAAAGTAATAGTTGTCACCATCTGTCTGTGTAGACTGGAGAATATCCCCAACCACATGGTCAGCAGAGGGACCAATCCTGAGCCTAGAAACATGGCATCAGCACGTTACAACACAGACCACAATTCTGGAGGCTCAAATGTGCTGAGGATCAGATTATGTCCCCTTGAAATATAATAACCTCCTTCGGAAACAGCCTAACATTCTGTGACTGGCTTATACTTTAAAGGGCTTATAAATCATGACAAATAAGTTCCATTATACTCGAAAGGAAGAATTTGCCAGAAGACGGGGAAGATTTGGGTTTGAGAATGGCTGAACTTAGAAAGAATGACTCTTAAAATAGTAAATTAGGACATTTAGTAGGGGGGGAAAAATTATGAAATATTACTAATCCTTGTATCTTTATAAACTAAAAATTAACTTCAAAAGACTACAGATGTGATAGTACAATAATAAAAAGTAATAAAGTAATTAGAAATAAAGATATGTTATTAAGGATGATAATAAAAAGATTCAGCTCAAACTCACCTTTTCGGAGTACACTGATGTCGTCCCCTGAGAAGCTTGTAGTTCCCTGTCCATCTGTTACCGACATTCCTCAGTCCCCCCAGAGCCTCCCACCAGTGTTTGTTGGGGCTGCACGTGTCCCTCTACAGTTTGAACAGGTCTTAAGGGTAGGGGTATGTCTTAGCCATTTGGTATCCTCCAAAGAAAATGAAAGTTTACTGAACTGGACAGAACTGCTCAAAGGAACTTGTTTACGAGGAATCAACAGATGAGAACTCATAAAGGAAACACAAATGTTGAAACTCTTCAGGGCATTTACTGTGATATCTGTGGTAATATTACACTGACCATATAGGAAATATTAAATAACTAAAATAGCCAATTAGAAAAAGAGGAAAGGAGAGAGACAGGAAGAGAGAAGGGAGGTATGGAAGGAAGATTCGTTTTTTTAAATTTATGAGAAGTAATGTTTTATTCTCCCACATTATAATTCAGGTATCTGTCATTCTTTCTCAATTTGTTATGACCCCAGTATGTTCTAGAATTCTGGGACGTGTTTGTAATCCAGAACTGTAGACCTAGATAGAATATTTGAAATATATTTGGGAAAAAAATGTGCTTCAACCAGATTTTCATTTTTTTTTTCCCAAAGTGGGAGGAAGAACAATTTCCAAATGATAGCCAACCAAAAAGAAAAAAGAAAATGGAAAACTGTCAAAAACCAAAATCCAAGTCCATATTGGAGCACAGAGGAAGACTTTTAAGATTTTGTGCCTCAGAATTTGAAGTGGGATTGAAATAGTCACTATGTAGTGTTACTTAAGTGAAAAAGCCCCCTTTGACATATGGAAACAAAAATGGCTTAAAAAGTTTCTTCTTCCACTTTGAGGACATTATGCTAAGTGACATAAGCCTGTCACAAAAGGACAAATACGGTATGATTTCACTTATATGAGGTACCCAGAGTAGCCAAGTTCACAGAGGCAGAAAGTAGAATGGTGCTTGCCAGGGGCTGGGGAGAGGGGACTGGGAAGTTATTGTTTAGTGGATACGGAGTTTCACTTTTGCAAGATGTGAAGAATTCTGGAGATGGATGGGTGGCGATGGATGTACTTAATTACTTAACGCCACTGAACTGTACCCTTCAAAATGGTTATGGTAAACGTTATTTGTATTTTATCACAGCTTAAAAAAAAGTTTTTTCTTCCTTTAAAGGGTATGGGAGGCAGATTTTGTAGTGGATTGATAGCAGGTGAAACTGTAAGAATTGTAGAAGAACCTAGGAGAGCTTATTTGGAGGTTTTAGCAGGAGGGATGGTAGCCATTCACTCCCCTTACTGAGTAGCAGAGCACTGCTGACTCTGTCTCAGACGGCATCAGAACAAGCCCAGCCACCCTGGCAATCTGTGGGGAAACTGTTATTATGGCCCAGGTCCCCCTCACAGCGCAGTGGGAAATCTTTCAAGTGAGTTGAGCACATTACCCTACATTTCCTTGCATTTCTAGCTCCCCTGTTTGCTACTTTTCGGTAGGACTTTTAGTGGAAGAACTAATGAACCCTGTGGAACGCTGACTGTGCCTGCTGTCACAGGCACTGACCTCAGTGGCAGTCCTGCAGGTCCTGCTGTGACCAGAAGAGTAGATTGCCAATTGATTAGAACTGGCGGGAGGAAGGGAGTGACGCAGCTCATTCATTGGCTGGGTCTGTTCGTCCCCATTCTTTAGGCAATTTCTTGTCTCTGACTAGTCAGTTTGCGTGGCTAGCAAGTCTCACTGGGATCCCATGTGCAGATTCCACTGCTCTGAGTGATTCCGAACACTAGCCAATCCCGCACGGATTCATTTCTGAATGGCCCAGCTTTGAGACAGCAAGCATTTGGGAAGTGAGACAAGCTAATTTACATGTGTAGTGATAACCCTCTTTAAAGGACTTTAACAGTCACTTTCATAATAGCTTTTTAGAAGGATCAAGTGGATAAAGTAGAGAAAGAGAGTCCTCGTGCACCAGGCAAATCTGAAGATGCCAAGAGAGAGTGGGACTGTCCCTAAATGTTATCAGTTGTCTCATTTTCATGTTTGGGTGAAGTGCTGGGCTTTGTTTTCCTTGCAGGGTGCTCAGACCTGGCCAGCTTAGGTTTTTCCTTAGGAATACCACTGAGCTCTCTTAAATGGTGACTGGTTTCTGAAACAGCTGGAGCTGTAGAGACAACTGCTACAGGCTGAGGCTGCCTCCATGTTGAGGTTGATCGGTTGCTCTGTAGGGCCAGGGCTTAGGCTCCTGGAGGCTATCTTGCCTGGTGAGAACATGATTCCTATCTGTCATTTCACACGTACAACTCTGGGGTCAGCAGAGGACTTAGCCAGGCAGTATGGAGGGCTTTCTGCAAATCTGCCCCCATTCCTGGAGAAAACTCTCAGTGTGCATGCCAGGTTGGTGGGGGAACGTTTGCTACCTCTCTATAGGAAGCTTACTGACACTAAAACTCACAGGAACTAGAGTGAGAAGGAATCATAGAAACCCAGGCTAACATTTCAGTTCAAATACTGCCTTGGGAAAGTTCAATAATGACATCTCTGAGGCTCAGTTTACTTATCTGTCATACAGGGTTAATAAGAGTAATTTTCTCCCTGGCTTTTCCAACAATAGCACTGGATCTAGGCCAAATGTAGAGTCCCAGAGGGATGAGGGGTGGCACTTGGGACGGGTGGGGGGGGAAGGATGCTGCAATCAAGGGTTAAATACAGCAGAGGGTGGCAATTTAATGAGAGAAATATAAAACAAGTTATTTCCCCATTTTAGGTGGAAGTGAAGGCAGAGGAAGTTCTTTGGATGTGTATATAACTGTAGCAATATACATGTTCTTACTGTGGCCTTTTAATTTATGAATTGTAATAAATACAGTTTTCTGTCTTAATAAATTGAGATTCTTTTCTTTTCTTTTTTTCTTTTTTGGTATGAGCTTAAAGGGTGTTGAGTTTGGCAGGTTTTATTCTCACCCTTTCTTTCTCTCCTCCTCTCTCCTTCACACTGAACTTGAACTGCAATCCCTGGGTAGGATTCCAATAAGGAGTCTGCTCTTTTAGCTTGGTAGTTTATTTTATGGCTGGCAGGTGATTGTGTTAAGATGAAATAAACCCTACGTTAGTAAATAATGTCATTGTTAAAGATTAGTCTTCAAAAGAAGGCAACCATACTCTTGTAAAAATTTAACCTTACAGCCAGGAAGTGATATTAACGTTGGTTAACAGTCTTGCTGCTTCTTGTAAACTCAGAAACAGACCCAGAGATCAGGAATTTAGTCTGAAACCTGATTCTCTTTTGTTCACAATGAATTACATACATTTGGAAAGGAAGAACATTATGACAACATTCCTATTAGCTAGTCTCCCGTTACCAAAAAACAAATGGAAAAAAATACAGCAGTTTTAAGGTTATCTTTCCTCCACACATACTGAATATTTACTTCCAGAGACAGAAATAGTTTCTCTATTTAACAACCAAAAAAGAGTTCTTATTTCTATTCTGATAAATTATTAATTTTAAACAGTTAAAACCTATTGCAGCCAAAATCTGGGTTTTGACACTGTGTTAAAATAGCTATATCATATTTCGTTAAACCGAAAGATGCCATCTATCGTTAAGACACACCTTAATTCCAGAGGTGTTAAAAATTCAAAAAAAGTTATGCATCGTAGACTTGGTGAAATGCACACCGCACAAGAATTTTCTTTTTAAAATTCTGAGCAAATAAAATGTAGGACATTTTCTTACTTCCTCTTTAAAGGGCTGTTGGACATATATAGTCTTTTTCAATAAAATGACATCTTTCTTTTAGAAAAAATTGAATATTTCATGATGTGTTTGAAAATAACCTTATTGGTTCTTTTACATTCATAAATTGGGGTTGAGATTCATTCTGCAATCTCTTCAGAGTTATTTTTTACTTTCTCAGTTCAAATCTCTTGTGCTTCTTGCTATGCTAAGACCTTCATTTGGAAAGTGAGGCTTTTAAGTGTGGGCTATATTATTCTAAGAGGAAATTGCTAAATTTAAAAAATTTTAAACATGTATTATCCAGGAGGCCTTTTGCATCCATGAGTTTTTCATCCTCAGATTCAACCAACCAGGGATAGAAAATATTTGGAAAAAAAAAAAGCACAATAAAAAATAACAATACACCAATAAAAAAATGCTAAATTTAAAAAATTTTAAACATGTATTATCCAGGAGGCCTTTCGCATCCATGAGTTTCTCATCCTCAGATTCAACCAACCAGGGATAGAAAATATTTGGAAAAAAAAAAAGCACAATAAAAAATAACAATACACCAATAAAAAAATACAAATTTTAAAATATAGTATAACAACTATTTACATAACATTTACATAGTATTAGGTATGATAAGTAATCAAGAGATGATTTAAAGTATACAAGAGGTTGTGTGTAGGTTATATGCAAATACGATACAATTTTATATGAGACTTGAGCATCTTTAGATTTTGGTATCCACAGAGAGTCCTGGTCCGGGAACCAATCCCCTGTGGACACTGAAGGACGGCTGTAGGGATGCTCCTCGATTTATGATGGGGCTACGTCCTGATAAACCCATCGTAAGTCGAAAAACCATAAGTCAAAATCTTAAGTCCCATTGTTAAGTTGGGACCATCTGTATATTAAAAGTTATATAATATTAAAATAGATATGTATCATTATTACAGTTGATGAAATATAATATCATTGCAGAAAGTTTGGGGAGACAGTAATATTTTAATATTTGTAAACTATGCCAGGACTATCGATTTAATCACCAGATATACATGTTGGGAATTATTCTCTTATGAATTAGTGTTGTACTTTGATAGGTGTTAATTCTCTTCTTTTTTCCAATTCCTTTTTTATACTTTAATAATTTTATATATCCCTATTTTTTTCAGATTACTATCTTGGACGCAAAACGGAGCATGAACATTGGGATATTCCTTAAGCAATTTAAGAAGTAAGATTTTTGCACACATCTGAAACTTTAGTCATATCCATGCTGTCAGTATCAAAGTCTGTGGGTGTGACCAAGCTAAAATTCTAATTCGAATAGGAGTGAAAGTCATTCCTCACATCTTCAGATCCTTCTTAGACACATGACTTGAGTCCGCAAGGGTCTGTCACTTTCTGCAGTTTTCCTTCATGAAAACATAATATAGTGGCTTGAAGTTTATGGAGAATTGCCCCAGGGCGTCCATGCAAGCCTGTCACGTCAGGGAATTTATAGATTCATCTTTAGTGCTGTCCCTTCAGTGGAGGTCAAATTTATGGTTGAATTTACATGTTCTAAAGTAGAAAGGAGAGGACTCTGCAGGGGTTCCAATGAGACCAAAGGGGGTTATTTTTCTTCCCCCAGTGGTTGTTGCTGCTTTCAACCTTTTTGGGATGCCTGAGGATGGCTCCCTGGGTGAGGGGGCCTCTGAGCCGTGTGTCAGGGTCCCCCTTTCCCAGCAGTGGGGCTGTCGCACCGACACAAAGCCAACACGAAACCACCCGGCCAGATTGGGAAGGAGGCGGGATGGGGAGGAGGGAGGAGGAGATTTGTTTTAATTTCCACTGGTTTGTGTCTCTTTTGGCACTCCAGCAAACGTGAAATGGAATGTGATTCATTATCTTTTCAAGGTCTCCTCAGTCCATCGTAGAAGATATTCATCAAGGAAACAGTGAGCATTATGGATCAGAGACGTTGCGAGAATTTCTTAAGCTTTTGCCAGAGTCAGAAGAGGTAAGGAATTGGGCGCTTGAGTTTTGGGTGTTAGGAGTGATCATAAAAGCTTAATATTTTTAGGAGTGTCAAAACTCACCTGGAAAGGGCACTCTCCTACCCAGAGCCAGAGTTTTCTTACATCAAAGTAATAAGTGACCCAGTAGAAAGAACATGGATTATGGAGTCAGAGAATCTAAGTTCAAATTCAAGCTGTACCCTTAACTGAGAAACTTGGACAAAGTTCTTAAGTCCTGTGAACTTTAGTTTCCTCACTTGTAAAAGGAGGATAATGACGCTTACCTCATTGGATTGTCAAGATGATTAAACCCTAGTTATGCATCTAACATGGTACTTGGCACATGGGACCTCAACACATTTCAGTTCCTTTTCCATCATCTAAAGACGACCTTTATTCAAGTTATTTTATAATACATAGACTTTAAAAAAAATAATAAAGAGAAAACCATTTTGAATAAAGATGCTCTAAAAATTTGGGGAGGTGGGTAAATTGTTAATAAATGTTGTCAACGTACTTGATTCAAAGGTGAGAATTGTTGTGATAGCAATACAGTGTCATAATATAAAGTTATTTGTTTTGTTTGGACTAAGTTAACTGAGTTGTTGAATGGTTAGTAGCTTAATAGGAAAAAAAAGAATAACAGTAATATAAAATCTTCCAATATTGGGATATTGTCCTTTATTTCTGAAGAAAAATTCATTAAAAAAATTCCGTAAGAAATGATGCAAATCCATGTGCTTGTAAACACTTAAATAATATAGAATCTTATAAAGTTTTTACTTTATAAGTAAAAGTAAAGGGTGACTTCTTATATAAGTTATCCTCTTCACACACACTTCTGACTCCTCCCTCCCCTTCCCACTCTTCTTCCCACACATAATTTATGGAACTTGACTTTAGTGCCATTAATAACAACAAGAGAGATATATTTGTATTTTTTCTTTTACATTGATTAATGTTAAACTCACGATGCGAAATTTAGGATGTTAGTAACTAGAGTCTCTAGTTTTATCTAGGTATATCTAATAACCTGGGGCGCTCTCTCTATCTCAAGTTTGCTGTTTGCAAATTAAGTGTAATTAACCTAAGCCAAGATTAATTAATGGCAATTATTAATGTTAGTAAAGGGTCTTAAAGTCTTAAAGGAAAGGTACATTAAATTGTAATTTACCCTGGATCGTACATACTGAACAGACCTTACTGTTTTTTTTATACAAAGAATGGGAGTTCCAAAATCTTCGTTAGGATGGATAGGTTTTAACTGATTAAAGTTCTAAAAAGATTTAGTTGCACTTGAAACTTTATTCCCACTTGGGCTGTTTTCATGACTCCTCCTCTGCATACCCACTCCTAACTGACCTCATCGTTTTTTTTAAGTGAGGATCAAATTTGATAGCCCATGTGAAAAGTGTTCTGGAAAGCTCTAAATTGCTAACTAAATGAAAGTTAGACATGAGGGAGGCTGCCAGCTTCATGCTGTGAAGAGGTGGGAAACTGAATAGGATGTTCCTAATATCTTCATTTTTCATTCAAAAAGTGATTAGAAAATGCAAAGGGATTTTTCAGAGAATCAAATTAGCTGTCAAACCTCCCACATTTTAAAAGAATTCTGGGTTTTTTTGAGTTGTGGGTGGGATATAATTCATAAGGAAGAATGTTAAGGACAAGATGGCAAAAACCCACCTAAGTGCTGCCCCGCGTCCCTGAGGCTGTCTCAGCCCCAGGCAGTTAGCCGCCCTGTTAGCTGACCTGGGAGGCTCTTGCTGAGACGAAACATGGTGGGACCCTGTAAGGCCTTCCCAGCCACCAAACCAGGCTGTAGCTGTTCCTCCCCTCACCCTGCTGCTGCCAGGCCATCAGTCTGAATATCTGACAAGCTTGGTCACACTCCTCCTCCTTGTTTACATTACTACTAAGCTTCAGCTCACCACACCCTCCAAACTCAACTGGAAGCTTCCTTCAGCAGGAACACCCTGACAGTCCCCGGCTGCTTGGAGCCCCGCCCTGAACACTCTGGGGTATCTGTGCTGTGGGAAGCGTCTCAGGGAAAGCCAAAGCCACCTCAGGACTGAGGCCCGCTGCAAGGACAGAATGCTTTGTGGCCCCGGCACCACCCGGACCCAGGGCCAGCCCTGGAGCCTGTGAGCCTCTGGATGGTGGTTGTAGGATGAAGTAAAGGAGGAGGCAGAGCCAAGGAAGAGAGGTTTAGGAATGTGGCAGAAATATGCTAATGGATGCATAAGTGCCTGCGTAACCATGTTACTAAGCTAAGCTGGTGGTGTAACATTGTATGCTCATTTGTAGCACAAGTAAGGACTAAACATTTATTGAGTTGCCCGCGTAGGCCAGGCACTGGACAGGGCAGAATGAAGTGAAATAAGATAATATATTTAAGGTGTTTAGCCTAGTGCCTGGTACACAGAAAGTCAGTAAATCATAGCAGTGATTCTTTTGTGTATTTTTCATTTAATCCTTGCAGCAACATTATAAGGTATTCCTTATTTTACAAATGAGAAACTGAGGCTCACATGGGTTAGCTATAACTTGCCTGGAGTCACATGATTTCAGGGTGATACAGGACAGGGTGGACTTGAACCCTGATCCCGCTGGCCCCAGCGCAGTGCGTTCTTTCTGTGGCACTCCACTGCCTCCCTTCGAGGAAGGAAGGGCAAAGGTTGTCAAAACCTCGCCTCCCATGCACTCAGCTCCCAGCCTTTTCATCACCTCTGGTATCACAAAGTACTGGTGTAAGTGTCACTCGAATAATACTGTAATCTTATCAGTGCGCTGAAAAATATGAACGGAAACAGCCCCTTTTTTCTCCTGCCCTCTCAGCTGACAGGCGGACCGAAGCCAAGGTTGTCAGGAATTTCTCTGCCCTCCGCCACAGATCTTTTATCTGGCATGTTTGTTCATCCTTCTTCAAACGTGTGGTTGACACTTGCAGAGGAAGAAGGTGGACCCAGAAATGAAGGCCTGGGAGTGTGCTGTTGTCCAGCACAGTGTTCCCACGCCGGAGGGCGGGAGGGGCCGGGGAGCCCTCACCCAGCCTGCTGGTTCCTGGTCTGGTGTCAGGGCTAGAGCTGGTAGACACTTGCTGTTCTCTCTGGAAGCAGGTTGAGTTGCCTCTGGACATTTTTATTACTTCTTTCCTGTCTTCTTCATTTACTCTCCTGCCGGCAGGGGAAGAAGAGGGAGGAAGCCCAGGGGTCGTCTGTTGGGTGGCTATGTTGGTGGGAAATCCTGCATTTCCAGGCCTCGTGACTGGAATTAGATAGGATGAAGGAGCCTGCCCTTTGGAGCATGCTCCAGGAGTGTGCTCTCTCAGGACAAAAACCGCGCACAGCCAGGGTCATAATGAGTGTGTCTTGGCTCAGCCAACAAAATTATGCCTAACAATGTTTAATAAATGCTTTTTGATAATGACGATGAGAATGCATAATAATTATAGGGTTTGTTCACCTCTCTTTTTTACTTCCCTACCACTGTGAAGGTACAGTAAGCCCTCTTAATGAACATAAATCTCATTTTGAAATAAAACGAAGAACTGTATACGTGGCATTTAAATTAAATAGTCTTTCCATCACCCTTCTCTTGAAATCCATAAACATTTTTAGCCTTTTACATAAGTGAAGGAGATTAATCATTGCTCCCATACAGTTCAGCACATGTTTAATAGAAATACTTACCAAGTTTACTTAGCATGACTTGTTCTTATGCTTTAGACTGAAAACTGCTGTTATTTTCAGAAGCTTTGCACATGCTACATATATGGTTTTATAAAAGGTACAACCTCACTCTGCCCCTGCCCATATATAGTGAATTGTTAAACTCTAGTTTAGAAGAAATCAGAATTCATTTTATGGATTTCTCAGTTCAGAAACGAGGCACTGATTTGGGTTTAGCTAAACCAGAAGTGCCATATGCCCTGAAACGTAGTGAGGCAAAAAATGATAGATTCACTTCTGGGCTCTCATGGTAGGGGGAATGTAATTTCTGCTTAAAAAAAAAGAAAACAGTCTTAAGGACCAGACTTAATACTAGGGTGTGAATTTGTGCTGTTACATTTTGTTTTTTATATTTTCAAATAATTGAGGTAGATATTTGCAAATACTCCTTTCTTTATGTTTTTGAACTGTCATTTCCTATTTTTCAAGGGACTTAAAATCATGTTATTAATCATAACCCAAGGGGTGAAAGAAAATAAGCTTTATAAAGAATGGTAAAAAGTGGTAAGTACTTACTGGCAACAGTTAGCTGTGAAGATAGGCTGTATACCTCACTAATAGTATAAAGGTACCACTTACTATAAAGAATTTTGTTGAATGACTCTCTATTAACAGTGGACTGAGAAGTGGTTTTCCCACTGGATCGGTCCAGTTTTCTGTGTGGGGAAGGCACGACTTACTATCTAATGCCGTTTGAGAACTTTCTCTTCACCTCCACCCTACCTGCTAGCTGTTTGGCTATTTACCTATGTCAGAACTCTTCTTTTTTTCCTTTACTACAGTTGAAGGAATATTTATGTGTTTAAAAACTTAGTTTAGTTTACTTTTGTATAAGAGAAAAGTACATGATCACTGTGGATGTTTTAGAAAATAAAAATGAGCAGCAGAAGAAAATAGTAATCCCTGTAGTCCCATCACCCAGTGTACGTGGGCCCTGTCAGCCTTTCTCCTGTGCACGTATGCAGGTGTGCACATGGGAGGCTTGGGGGGTGAGAGATACCTTAAAAGAAATTTATAGAAGTGAGATCCTACTGCACATATTATTAATTATTTTTATTATCCAGTCTTTTCATCGGGGAAAATCTTAACATTGATCTTTCGGTTGTTTGAGCAATTTTTCTTTTTTTCCTCCCTGCTGGAGAGCCAGTAGGTACTCCCCTGAACATGCTGTAGTCCTTTCCTTGAAAGCTATTATATGTGAAGTGGAATTTGACCCCAGAAAGATCTGTGTTAGACCTTACCCAGTCTACGTATTTTATATCCAAAATACTCAAAATAAGATTTTTTTCACTTACGACTTAAAGGACCATGTTATAATGACTATCCAGTCTCTTCTTTCTTCTCCCAAACAATGATCTCACTTCCAGATTATTGCTTACAGAAAATCTGCATCCTTAAAACTGATCCTTTTTTAGCCCATCCCTTTCGTAACCTTCCTGAGGATTCTGGTGGCTCCAGCTCTGGCTTGCTCGGGACTGGATGTCTATAGATGCATGCGACACTAGCGCTTCACTTTCAAATTTGTGAGTTTTGTTTTTTTCTTGTGAAAAACAAAGAAATAGATACGATGATTTCCTTTTGTGTCTTTTCCTAGGTCTATATTTTTATTAGTTTAAATTTAGCACTGAAATCCTATGTTCTTAGAGGAGTTCTAGGATAAAATTTAAAATAATCTTAACTTTTAATCATAAGTGATTTTTCTCTATCTCCTTTTCCATTTGTCTTTTAGGTAAAGAAATTAAAAACATTTAGTGGCGATGTGTCCAAGTTGTCCCTGGCAGACTCCTTTCTGCACTGCTTAATTCAGGTGCCAAAGTAAGATACGGTCATTGATCATTGTTCTTTGTAAAGTAACATTTATAAACTAATAACATTAAATTCTACAGTTTTACTTTTTATTTTTCAGCTATTCACTTCGGATTGAAGCCATGGTGCTAAAGAAGGAATTTTTACCTTCTTGTTCTTCTCTATACACAGATATAATGATTTTAAGAACTGCTACGAAAGGTAAGTAAACACATGATCCTTCATATAACTTGTTTTTTTAATTTTAATAGCTGTTTATTTTTGTAAAAAATTCAATTCAAATTGGAAATGGAAAGTCCCGTATTTCTGATATACCCTAAAAAGGGAAATGAGATGTTACTAGGGATGCATTTACGATTTATTTCCATTCACTTCCCCCACTCTTCGGAATGAATATTGATTTGCATATTATCCTGCCGTGAAAGGAAGTTTCTTTCATCTCAAGCTTCAGAGTAAACCTTTCTGGTTGCAACTCACGCTTACTCCCCTCCTAGGTTAGCTTTCTCTGTGTGTGTGTTTCTGTCATACATAGTGTGTATGTATGTGTGTGGTGTGTGTTTGTGGCAGGTAGCATCCGTGCCTGTGGGGGGGGGTGTGTGTGTGGTGTGTGTTGTGTGCATGCACAAAGCCTGGGTCCCTGGGCCAGCTGCCTCTCCTCTCGCTGCTCTGGCCTCTGTTGGTGGCTGGGTCCCTGCTGTTCCAGAAGCCAATGGCCTTTCTAGGCATCAACGGTATGACTCTTGCGCTGGGTTCCTGACCTTTCTGTTCTGTGTTGTCTTCTCCCACCCAGTTCTCCAGACTCCCAATATCGGGTAGGCTGTTTAAGCTTGAGAGGAACAAGTTGGTCATTTTCATTTCTTTGAACAACTCTTTAAATTGTTGCCTGCCCAGCTTGGACAGACTCCTCTCCAAGTTGCTGTAATGTCTCATCCGGTAGGGACGGAAGCTTTGGGCTCTGGCATTCGTGGCCCTGGGACTGTAGGCCTGGCAGAGTTGCAGCTGCCTCCTGCTCATCTCCCAGGCAAATGCTCTGGCTCTCCTTGACCCTCACATTTTCCAGCATTCATCAGAGCCAGCCTGACTTCCTTTTGGTCATTTTCCGGGTTTCTAGTTATTATTGTAGAACTGTTCATTCCTATTTGTTTTTCCCATTTAGTTGCTCTCTGGCCTGTGTTGACATAAAATTTTTCTCTCCGACCCATCCATATTTTCTTCATTTTAGCGAGGAGACTAAGAAGAATAATTCTTTTTTCCTTTCAATATAGAGGCCTTTTAAGATTTTTCCCATACCAAGGCTATTGCAGCAACTTGGAAGGATTGTTCTGGAAGAATATGTTTTCATGTTGAGCAATGCAAATTTGTGGGCACGGCAGAAATGTTTCTTATCTGGTTACCCTTCCAAAACTGGCTGCCTTAGATAACGTAATATAGGCAGTGATCCAATGTAATTTTTTGAAAGTAATACCAGACTTAACGGAGAATATTAACTTAAAAATATCATAGGTGGCATTTTATTATCCATATATAGTGTAATTTTAATAATCAGGTTTTCTTTTAGCTTTTCAAAATATGAAAACATTTTTAATTTTGTTTCTTTGCATAGGAGTACAAAAGATTGGTGTTAATAAAGATCTAGTTTACCAGTATATTGCAGTGATAAGTTTCTTTTTAAAATCTTCAGCCAATCCAAATGAAATGTGTAGCTTTGAATAAAATGAAAAGATTCTCTGGGTGCCTGAGCCCTCAGGGTTAGTGTTTTGCAAGTTATTTACATGTCATCCCAGCCTGTTTATTTTTTTAGTCTCTTCATAACTCATTGGCTAAGCAAAAAGCTGGTTGCTATTAGTTTTCATAGTCTATAAATGCAGTCTCAAAGGCTAGTGGATATAAAGAAAAAGAGAAATAACTGCGAGAAGAAAGTTAATTTTTATAACACAGTGTACTGCTTTTCATTAGGCTTTTGTATTTTCTAGTACTTGAAAATTCTCTTTGTGAACTATTCTGTGATATTTACCTGTCATATATATTTGATTCCCAGTCAAACACTATGACATTGCCAGTAGCAAATGGTGTGTTAGGTATGCCATGGAAGGTACTGCTTTGTTTTTTCAGTTTTTATGTACAGTTTAGGGTCAGAAGTTGCTTCAGACACTCTTGAACCTTGGATGTGGTAGCTGTCTTCTGTGCATTTAAAGTTGAAGTCTTCTCTAAGGTGGTGTGGTGTGTTCTTTTTGATAGAGCTGATGTCATGTGAGGAGCTACATTCAATATTGCACTTGGTGCTCCAGGCTGGGAATATCATGAATGCAGTAAGTAAAATTCAAAACAACTGAAATGTTGTGTTTTTAACTTTGTCCTTCTAAAGGTATATATATATAATTTTTTTTTCTTGATTTGTCTTCTTTAGGGAGGGTATGCTGGCAATGCAGTAGGATTTAAACTGTCTTCTTTGCTCAAATTGGCAGACACAAAAGCAAATAAACCTGGGATGAATCTTCTGCACTTTGTCGCACAGGTATGTGGAAATGATTAATACAGGGAAAGAATGTGTATGAATCCCTCTGGGAGGCGGTGAAGTTTTTCCCAGGCATGAGGTGGTGTCAAACAGAGTTAGGAAAGGGAATGGTGAGTTGCAAGAAGGTTCTGTTTGCAGAAACACTATTTGTAGATTCCTGAGGTGAACTGCACCCAGGGTTATAGGGCTGCAGGGAAGTGGTAGGGAGAGTGAGGCAGAGAGGCTGGTGAAGCCAGTTATGAAGGATGCAAATGTCAAAGGTGGGGAATTTGGATTTCACGCTTTAGCAGTTGGGGGTCAACTGAAGCTTGTGCACAGCATAACAGCATGACCAGGTTTTTTGTTTTTGCTTTTGGGAAAATAAGCACCATGGAGGCTGGGCTGAAGTGGAGAGAGAACTAGAAATAGGGACATGTCTTGGTGGGAGTTGGCTGCAATTATTTGGTGAGAGTTGAGAAGGGTAGTGGCCGTAGGGACAGAGAGTAGAGGGCTGGGTAGTGAAACATTTCCCACATGGAATTGACTAGATTTTTGACCAGGTATGTGTAGAAAGATCACTTTCTTTCTTTCTTTCTTTGCTTTCTTTTCTTTCTTTCTTTTCTTTCTTTCCTTTCTTTTGTTTCTTTCTTTCCTTTCTTTCCTTTCTTTTCTTCTTTCTTTACCATGTGTTACAGCATAAGACTGCTAGCACAAGGCATAGGGTCTGACCCTATCCATTGGTTCTTTTCTTGACTGGGTCTTTGTAACACCAAAATAGCTAGGTACAAAGTAAAAGATGAGCCAAGGACAGTTATTACTTTGCTGTTAAATGATCTCAGCTAATTGTACTGATTTGCTTTTTCTCCATTGAATCACCCTGTTGTTTTGACATCAGTGATATACACGTAGCTTTAACCTGGGAGGAAGCCATGTTGCATGTTTGTTTTGCATGTGGGCTTCAGAACAGGGCAGGACTGGAGACTTTGGCTGTCCTTTGCTAGCTGTACTTCCTCAGACACGTTACTTAAGCCTTAAGACTCTCAATTTCTTCATCTAATGATGGGAGTCGTGATAACTTACCTCAAAACCAGGTAATTGAGAGGGCTTAGCTCAATGTTTGCATGGAGTATGCTCTCCATAAATAATACACACTGTTATTACTATATTCTTCAGAAGACAGAGGGTCATGCTTAATTTGGTACTTGATTGGAAAGTTAATTTTCGGAGGATTAAAAGAAGAAAATGTGTTCCTTACCCAGCATGGATTGCAGATGATATTCTGGCAGAGTTCTCACAGATCCATGTGTCCAGGTGCTCTGTGTAACTTGGTCCCTGCCCATGTGGGGAAGTTTCCTGAGTCAGTAATTGCTCCCTTCCCACCTGCCTTCCTCTCACCCTCTGAACAGGTGAAGGAAGAATCCAAACACCTCCATAGCTTGTGTACCTTCTGATTAAACTCAGTTTGCAAACTGGTTTAACAGCTGAAGGTATCTCAATCATTTAAAGGCATACTCATAGGTATGGGTGGTATTTAAGCAGGATATATTGGATTCTCCTAGAAACAATGGGCCCTAGTAAGCTGCCACCTCCTTCTATTGAGTTTTAATGCACATAAATTGTATTTCACGTCAAGATTAATTGCTCTGGGAAGTTAAATGTATCTTGAGAGTAGAGGAGTTCTGATAAATCGTACTAAGAATATCAGAGTTCATGTCTCAATGAATTGCTTTGAATGTGTCAAGTTTAAAAACAGGAGCAGTGATTTTAAGTTTCCTTTAAGCCCTAAGAAAATTATTTCCTTCCAATTTTATACGTACAGTGAGAGAAAATTCTGTCTTTGTTCCAGGAAGCCCAAAAAAAAGATGCCATTCTTCTAAACTTTTCAGAAAAACTACATCATGTTCAGGAGGCTGCTAGGTAAGCAAGGAAGACTGGCAGTGAATTGTGAGAATTCAAGGTTTTTTTAAACTACCTTCTTATGAAAACTGATGAATAATTACAACTTTCGGATTTCAGTTTGAACTTGAAAAGGTTTCGTCTTGTTGAACTTTCAGCTTTCTTTTTTTTTTTTTTTTTTTTTTCTATTTCAGCATTCAGCTTTCTTTTTTATCTGCTTAAGAGATGTGTGTGAGCACCTTTGGAATTTGGGGTTTTTAAACTAAAGTAAAAAACTATTTCAGTCTATTCTAATGGATATCATCAGTGTAAAAAAAATATGGATTAAGAACTTCAAATCCCTCCACACCCAAAAGATACAGTTTAAGTAACATAGCCTATTACCTTGGGAGTTAATATATATCAATCAAACTTTCAGGGCCATCCATTACTGTTTCCTTGTAGACTCTGACATGGTACATTTATTTTCTATTGCATTAGAAGCGGTTGGAACCATACCAAGAGCTGTGAAAGGATTTTATTTTAAATTAGTCACTCGACCTTGTAGAGAAATTATCTACCAAACATAAAGCTCTGTTTACATCACTCTAATTTGCTTCTGATCCTAATGTAGATGTGTATTTTAATGTAGCTATAATCAGTGGGTATGTGCTTTTTGAGTTCTATGTTTTTAAATTTACAGTACATATCCATGCATCCTGTAGTAAATGATCAGTAATCAGCTCTTTGAGAAAAAAAGGTCCTGATTTGTAGCATTTGCTGATTTCCGTGCCCTAAATACTGCTGCCATGGCTGATTGCAAGCTGCCAACACAGCGTTACCGAATGCAGAGTTGGGAAGAGATACCCACAGTTGGCTCGCACGAGCTGGCTTAGCATACTACTTCATGTATCCACCCAGTTCATATCATATATTTATTTGTTCTGTGGCTATATCCAGCTATGAACCATAGGCATATGAACAAACGAACTATAGCTCATAGCCCTGTCATTGGCTGGTAGCTCAGTGTTATTGACGCTATGAACATCTAACCAGAGATCACACATCTTTTCCAAAGTGGGATTATCAGTTCAAAGGTGTAAACAGTTCATAATTCATGTTTACAGATCACCAGAATGGGCATCTCATAAGATATGAACTGCTTCGTTTTTGAATTACTAAAGGAAATTTGTGTGGGAATACTTTTACTCTGACTAGTATAGAAATGATACTAAGAGATATATAGAGAGAAATTACCATTACGTTTTTGAACTGGCATTTCTGGTCAGAGTTAGATTGGAAGTTTAGCTTAGAAAAACCCTATTCAGTAAGGTAGGTTGGTTGGTTTGTTTGAAATGGAAGGCTAATACACTTGTGAAGTACAAACAGATCTCAGATGGGCACCAATGACCAATGAAGTTGGAAAACTTTATTGCATAAAGAAACATTATAATCAATAATGGAAGCATGAGTGCAAGCTAATTTATGAATTTCACCTGGATTTTAGGTTTCACCTGCTCACTTTACCAGGTGACAAAACCATCATTCATATTCTGTTAATCTCAATTCGATGTATATAACAAAAGCATTGCAATTGACCGAACCATTAAGTTGCAGAACTGTTAGCTGTGTTTTAGTTCTCCGTAGAATATAGAGCACTTGCTCTGGGTATCTGTGGCGAACAATATGAAGTCAGTTTACTATCTCCATGGTACGCTTAGAATCAGGATTATCAACATACATTGCCTTGCTTCTCATGAGAGCTTAATGTGTTTAGTGGCCAGAGGAAAGCATATGTCTCCCAGAGTCCTGATGGCTTTTAGTTTTTAAAACTTATTATGTAAAGCTCTTCAGACCTATTTTATGAGAAACTCTGTTAAGTCCCATAGTTTGGGCTATCTCACCTGCAAGAGCGAAGTTACAGCCTGCTCTCTGTGAACCAGTGTATGCCTTTAGGAAGGAATCGCCTCTTTAAAAAGCAGGAGGAAACACACAAGATCTAAATATAGGGGTAGGTGAATGTAATTGCAGTAGCTCTCCCTTCTGTTTCCAAGGTTGACGAGTAGTTGGTCTTGTTTGATGTACCCACGTGACACAGGGCTTCCTTGTTGGGAAGAGATACCCACAGTTGGCTCGCACGACCAACTGCCCACTCTCCCCTTTCTTCTTTTAGATTATCTCTGGATAACATGGAAGCAGAGCTGCACTCGCTGTTTGTCAGGACGAGATCGCTGAAGGAAAACATCCAGCGGGATGGCGAACTTTGTCAGCAGATGGAAGATTTCCTTCAGGTTCGTAGGATTTCCTTCAGGTTCAAGCCAGCTCCTCTAATCACATCTTCCAACAGCACCACTGAGGCCCATTAAATTTGCATGGGAGTATTTGTGGAAGCATCAGATTCCCATTCATATTTTTTCCCCTGAGTTAGTAAAAGGAACTTTGTATTTCAGTGCCCATTCTTTGCAGAGAAATTGAGTATTAGCAAAATGTAAGGTATTTGTTTAGGGACTGGGCTTCTGTTTATCATGGCTCAATTTGCATTATTGTACTTTACTGATGCAGTCAGATTCCACAGAAGTCATCAAGATACCTTAGAACTTGAGCTGTCATTGCTTCACTTATTTATATTGAAGAAACGCACTGCATTTTGGCATGTTTTATAATGAGAACGGAACACACGATAGCTGTGCCTATCAACACCCGGAATACATCAGGTCCACAGGGTGTGTCAGGAGCTATGCCGAATAACATCAACAAGAAAAAGCAGAGTGGACATGTTTGTGACAGCTCATTGTGACTCACTAATCACATAGTCTGACATACTTCTTTTATCTTCCTTATTTAAAAAAAAAATGGCACTGTCTCATGGTCTCTGTCTTCAGTGCAATGGTGTGCTACCTGAAGTGTTGTTAGTGCTTTGAGACCTGCAAGGCAGAATCTGTGTGGCAGGGCTGCCCTTGGCACTGGGGAGGAACAGCGTGCTCCCAATATTGTGCCAGCTGAAGTCTTCACTCATTAATTCAGCTACTTCAAAATATTATAAGCTTCAGCTCATGTCGGCAGACATTTGATTTTGTTTGGCTGTGCTGCGAGTTTATTTTTATTATTAATCACGTGCTCTGTATTTTCTTTTAAGTATAACCAAACTCTAATTTTCCTGTTAAAGTACACACATTTTTCTCAAAGTACAAAAACAAAGCAAACACTACCACCACCACTACCACAAAAACACTAAACACTAAGCACAGTCAGATGCATAAAACACATTCAGAAATTCAAGAATAAGGACCCTCACACATCCAGATTAAAATTCTGGATGTTTCATTCCCCCAAGTTCTTACATTAAATATTAGTATCTAATACTAAATATTAATACAAAAGGATCATCCTCACCTTTAGAATACTCTTCAAAGGCAAGCAACCTTGTTTTAATTCTTTAAACTCTTCTGTTAGTCATTTTAGTCATTTTTCTCTCGGTAAATAAAATATTCCATACAGTTGTGTACTTTCCTTTCCTAAATTCAACTTCATTTTGAATAGGTGAGAGAACATTTTTCAAGGTAGGCTAGGGCAGGCCATGCGGGTCTCTGAATGCCACTCTGAACACTGGACTTTACACCACGAGCAGTGGAGCATCAGTCAAGGTTTGTGAGCAGAAAGAAAACAGGAACACATTTTTGCAAATTTTTATTTCAGTATTTTGACCCTTAGGCAAGAAATACTGAGTGAACTGGTTCAGAACTTTGATTTGTAGCAGGCAAGTTAGAGATGTCAAGTTGAATTTGATATCACAACTGCAAACCTGTTGTCATTCTTACTTTGCCAGTGTAGCTTTGGACTTTTTTATTTGTGGCCCTAATCATGTAGAACTCGTGGCAAATAACCCAGAGCATGGTTACTTTTCAGATCCATATTCTGAATGTTTCACTGTCCAAAGGGTGACTTCAGTGGTTTAAGTTTTCCTTCCTGGTATTCTGTCAGTCCCCACAGGATCTAGAGAGGGGACATACGAGGTGGAGCTAAGCTCCCGTGCAGATTTTTTCAAGAGGCCTGTTTTTCTGCCGTAGAGCTGTTCTTGGCTGGACTCCATCTTCCCCCTGTGAAAGAATGACAGGCAAAGATTTATCCTTTCATTAATACCATTCTCTCCGTAAAGAAAAATACATCATGAATGCACACGCTGCCTTGGGCTACTGACTCAGATGGTTACTTTCCCTGGTATTTGGTTTCTTAAATAGTTTTGGTTTCCGACTACCTCTTGAATGTGTTTGGTTTAAAAAAAGGGCTTTTAAGGGGGAATGTGGGTTGGAGTGGGTAGGAGGTGGTGTCTTAACAGAATTCTCTGTAGGTTGTGTAGCTCTCCAAGCACTTCCAAACAGCAATCCCACTCTTGAAGGTGGGCAACTTACGGCTTTACCATTTCCTAGGCTCATCCCCATTTCACGAAAAAAGAAGTTTTTTCAAATATGAGCCTTTTTTTTAAAACGCGATACATGTGATTTCATCAAGTAACATATTTCATACATTCCTTCTTCATATAAGCACTATTCCCGAGTAAACAAGAAAGCAGCGTAACGCTTCAGTGTGATTCCAGATATTCGGTCTCCCGTGGAGGGTCTGCTGAGGTCCTTCCTCTCCCTCTCCATGCTGCTTCCTCTTTACCGTCAACACAGTCAACACACTGTCACTGAACTGCCGGCAGGGAAGTGCGCCTGTGACCCTTGGACATGGCAGATCCCATCCTAAAAGCCTTGGGGACTCGCTGGAGGAAAGGAAGCTTCTTTCATTCCCACCACTTTGTGGAGGCACTACCAGAATTTATAGGGGCCTCAGAGACTTATTTGTCCCAGAAGAATTAGGAGAAAATAAAGAAGTAAAGAGAGTGGATATGTATAAGACTAATTCCTAACCAAAGGAACCCATCAGAATCTCCTGGGGAGTTTTAGTAGAATGTTAGTGCTGGATCCACCCGAAACCTATTAAATTGTGTGAGTGGGGCGCAAGCATAGACTGTGAAAGCTTTCCACCTGACGTGGATGAGCACCCCTGGTTTAGGCATAAGGGCTTTGGTCCTTGGGTAGGGGTAACATGGATCCTGATAGAGCTCATTTGGGATTAAATTTAAACTGCCTCTCCCCAGGGCAAAACTGATAACTTTTCAATACAAGTAACTTCAGGGACCCTAAAGTCGACTCTTGGCCAGATTAAGACTCAGTTTTAAGAGAAGGAAAAGCAAATGCAAAATGATCTTTCTTGATAAAAACCCACTGCATACCTGTGTCATTTTTTCCAGCAAACATTAAAGGCGAACCTTCCAGACATTAAAGGTGAAAGTTTTGTTAGTGGCATTCTACAGGTTAAAGCTCTTAAATCTATCTTGTTGCTTCTAGGTCTTACACAGGAGTTCGCTTTGCTTTCCCCAAGGTTTAGCTTGGGTCGAATTATTTTCCTTTTGGCCTTGCAATAGCCTTGCCTTTCCCAAGACCTGACTTTCCCAAGACCTGAAATCGAACCCCAGGAGCATGTCTTCCTTCCCTGGGCACCAGACGCAGTGCTGAGTGCCTCACCAGCTGACCACGTTTACTTCAGTGTGTGCTCATTTGTTTTTCCGCAGTTTGCCACAGAAAAGCTGACAGAACTAGACCGCTGGAAACGAGAGCTCCAGGATGAGGCCCACACCCTTATAGATTTTTTCTGTGAAGACAAAGAAACCATGAAACTGGACGAATGCTTTCAGATATTTAGGGACTTCTGTACCAAATTCAACAAAGCAGTTAAGGTATGGCTGGTAGCATGTCTGGGTTTTCCGAGTTGTTGGGATTTTAATTCTTCTTCTTCTTGACCCAGTCCTCTGCTATGGCAGAAAGACAGTTCAGTGTCTCCCTGGTTTCGAGAACGTCTGGCCCAGGCGGTATTGCCAGGCTCTCGGTTGGGATTGCAGGGAAGTAGCTCTGCCATCCCAGCCCTGAGGCTTCCATATCATCAGGAGCCTGGCATTTGGCCGCCTCTGCTGCTTTGCTGCTCATACCAACACACTCATTAATGCCCTAAAAGCATTTTGTTAGTAAAGTTGCTCTATGATGGCAGTAATATTTAAAAGTTTCCTGAAGATTCTGAATGTCTTTCTCACCCCTTCCCCAGAAGAGAATGTCCTCTTTCAGGGGGACTTCTGTTGCTGATGGGAAGGCCCTCCCTTCCACCTGTGGGATTAGCACCGTGGGAATTGTGTTGCCCCCTCTCAGAGCAGCCTTCGAAATTCTCAAATATTTTTGAAGCCTGCTGCTATATTGAGCCCTTCAACCACCAATTCCAATAATCTCTGGGTTTAATTTAGAAGCCAGAAAATTCTCTGGGTTTGCTTGACTTTGCAAATAAAACTTTAATCTGCCAATTAAAAACAAAACAACAACTTGAATCCCTTCATTTCAGGTGGTGATGAGGAACCCAATACTTGTGAGTCATCTCTTCCCCTGCAGATTTGTCTATGGCTGAAATTCTTTGAGGGACTTTCTCTCAGGCTCAGAATTGCTTTGCATTCTCAACCCCTCCTTTCTCTGTCCATCGGAGAGAAGGAGGCTCAGCCTGTGGCCACGTTTACGCTCCTCTGGCCAAGCAGTGAGCTCAGCTGTGGGAGGCAGTGGTGGGTGTAGAGGCCAAGTTGGCTCCTTCAGAGGCCCTCACTCCCAGTTGGAATTCTGCAGGCCCGTGAGGCCACCTGTGTGATGCTCTCAGCCCAGCTGTCCTTAGTGCCAGGAACCAGCCCCACCCCCACCACAGGCAGCCTTGAAAGGAGAAAGCCTGAGAGACCTGGGGACGATGGGAGAGGCTGAGGCCAGAGCTGCAGGAGGAGCCAAGAGTCCCCAGCCAGAGCCTCACAGAAACTTGGAAGGGAAAGTCCACCATTGGAGGAAATTGATTTTCAAGTAAAAACTGCTAACGATAACAGATTTGGGTTGTGAGATCCACATGTTTACATGACACGTATATTTAAAGCACACAGCCAGGCAGTAAAGTGTGATTTGGTATGTGCATTTGTTCTGGTGCAGTTTCGTTGGGAAGGGCTGGGAGCGTTGAAGGATTAGTAAAGCAGACCTGCTTCTCTTCTCTGATTGTGGGAACGGGTTGGGGCATAAGGAGCAGAGCCACCATGGTATTTGTGGTGGGGTTTTTTGCTTTTTGGTTTTTTTTTCGTAACCAAGGAGCAGTCAGAGAACAGAGTTGAAAGGCATCTCCTAATATCTTGAGTACACGTTATGCATCCAAATCACTGTTAAGTAGAATGTGCTGCACTTGAATGTGTGTGTGCACATAGATCCGTGTAACACAGAAGTACAATTTGAGGCTAACTCTTCAAACACTCATAGTATTTTTCTCTCTGCCATTGCCTATAATTAGCACTTTGCTAGAAATCCTATCTTGGACTACTTAGAAACCAAGCTGACTTTCCTTGGAGTTGAGATCGCATGCATATGTGGAATCACAGCCCATGCTGAGGGGACAATGCCTTGGCTGGGAAGCTGGAAGTTGGGCCCAAGGATCAGATGTGAACGGTGGACAGATTGTTGGGGCCAGGCCTAGTGTGTCCCTGTGGTCAGATCCCCTCCAGCTTTAGAGAGCCTCCCCCTCCCTCCACACACACACACACACACACACACACAATCTCTTTCTCAGTGTAGGGCATGACCCAGAGCTCCCCTCTGTACATGTCTCTCTCATTGGGTCTTAGGGTAGGTGGCTGAGGACTTGCATGTGTGTCCCACGTGTCTCATGCATCTTGCGGCCTCTCTCCACCTCTCGTTCAGGACAACCACGACCGTGAGGTACAGGAGCTGAGGCAGCTGCAGCGGATGAAGGAGCTGGAGCAGAAGCGGCGCTCCTGGGCGGCCGGGGAGCTTGGGGGCTTTGGCAGGAGCAGCAGTGAGAATGATGTGTTGCTGCTGACCAAGAAAGGTGCAGAAGACCTGCCCGCTTTCCTGCACCCGAGGCCCATCAGCCCCTCCTACCGGCCCCCCAACACCCGCCGCTCCCGCCTCTCCCTGGGCGTCTCTGCCGACCGGGAACTGCTGACCTTCTTGGAGAGCTCCACCCGCAGCCCCGAGGAGCCCAGCAAGTGCAACAGCCTGCCCCGGAGCAGCCCCCGGCAGGCCCGGCCCACGGTGGCCTGGATGGAGTCTGCTGAGCCAAAGGACCACAATTCCAACTTTGCTCACAAACCTCAGGCCTCGGAGAGCCAGGAGAAAGCCCCCCAGACGCCCTCTGCTTGGCGGAAGCCGCTTGCGGCCGCAGGGCGTGAGGAGGCTGCCGAGGCCTTCCCCCGGGCCCGGCGCGGGGGGAACAGCGTCCTGCGAAAGAGGAACAGCGAGCCTGTGGGCTTGGGTCCCACCCGGTCCCCTCCGCTCTCGCCACTGGCTCTGGGGATTAAGGAGCATGAGCTGGTGACAGGGCTGGCCCAGTTCAATCTCCAGGGGCCCAAGATCCTGGAGGAGACGTCCCGGCCCACCCTGAATGACTCGAGCCCTGCGGAGCTGGTGTCTCCGGGGGATGGGTGCCCGCAGTCACTCAGTGCCGGCACCGGCAGCCTGACGCCGGGGGACAGCGGTGCCCAGGGGGCTCTCAGCCTAACCCTGGGGGCTGACCGGGCTGCCCCTGCGGAGCCCAGCGACACAGCCCTGGTGTCTGCGGGTAGCAGCGACCCTGAGAACAAAGATCCTGGGCCTCCGTGCTACATCTCCGACGCCACCGACTGCTCGCTGACCCTGGACTGCTCGGAGGGAACCGACTCCAGACCTGGAGCGGGAGAGCAGGAGCAAGGGGGCGAAGGGGATGGCTCCGTGTCCTCTGGGGTTGGGGACACGACGGGGGGCAGCCAGGTCTCCTCTAACCCTGAATCCATCCCCGCTGCGGAGGCTCCTGCCCCCGCCCCGGTGAAGAGTGAGCCCAGCTGCAAGGGTGGCCTTCCCAGGGACAGACTCGCCAAAGGCAAGGATGTTACAGCACCAAAGAGAAACTCCCTCAAAGAGGCGCCTCCGGGGGCCCCCAAGCCAAGCGTGCGGCGGGGCCCGGGCCCGGCGGCGCGGCCGGTGCGCACGCTGACGGCGTCGGAGAGCGAGAGCATGCGCAAGGTCGTGCCCATCTCCCGGGCCAGCCGCGGCGCGGGCGGCTGCAAGCGGCCGGACGCGCAGGCCCGAGCGCTCCCCCGGGACCCCCCCAACAGCACAGACACGCCGTGGTCGCGCCGGAGCTCCGTGAGGGGGACCGCGGACACGTCGCCCCGGAGGCCCTCCGCGGGGGCCGGGGCGGCGGCCGAGGAGCAGCGGCCCTCCCGGGGAGCCGGCGGCGTCCGGCTGGGGAGGGAACCCCCGCTGCAGCGCAGGGGCTCTCTCAAGAAGCCCAGCGCCAAGCCCCTCAGGAACGTCCCCAGACAGAAGCCCGAGGAAAATAAGATCTGTCGCTCCAACTCCCAGGGCCCTGAGAGTCCCGAAGAAGAGCCCAAGACCTCGCCGGCCCCCAGCGTCCCCCGGGTCCCACCCGCGGTCCCGAGCTTCGCCCGCAACACCGTGGCCTCGTCATCCCGGTCCATGAGAACGGATGCCTCTCCTGCTGCCAGAGCCCCCGGCATCACACGGACAGTCTCGCAGCGGCAGCTGAGGGTGAAGGGTGGACCTGAGGATGCCGTCCCCAAGGACAGCGGTACCCTGAAGCGGGCCAGCAGCGCCCGGGCTCCCAGGAAGTGCCCAGAGCCTGCTGCGGGCCCCAGTGCCCGCACGGAGGCCCCTCTGAAGGGCAGAGGAGCTGGGGAAAGGGCCTCCCTCAGACTGAAGGACTCCAATCGGACCGCACTGGGGAAAATCCTCAGTCCCTTACGAAAGTGATGGGTGCCTGTCCTCCTCTCTCATCTGCTGGGATTCAGATGGAAAGGACTGACTTCTAGGTTGAGGACCCGGAAAGAGGCATCACTGAATGTCTTTGCTATACATAAAGCAACCCATGGTGCCATCCGCTAACGATCAGGTCACTGAAGGTACAGTGTGGGAGGCCTGGGGACTGCAGCCTGCCGTGCCGACTCCTACTGTAAATCCTGGCCTGAGCGGGCGGGGCCGGCAGCCCTCTCACACAGCCTGGCCCTGACCCCAACTCCTGCCCCCAAAACAAAGACTCTCACGTATAAGGTGACATTCTTATGTAACAAGTCAAAGAATTTTTTTTCTGGCCAGTTTTTATATATTAAAGACTTATTTTTTAATATTATAAAAATTAAATGTTGTTTTAGTTGGTTCCTTTTGCAGAGTGAAAGAAATGCCTCCCAGGAAAAAAATATATATCCTTAATATGAAGATATTTTTATCATCCTGTGTTCCCTGGCCTCAGGGTTCCACCTGCCCACACCCGGTCCATTGCTGGCGACTGGACTTCTCCCAAAGCCCTTGGGTATCCTGTGATTGGCTCCATCTCCTTGAAGACTTTCCGGCCTGCCCATTTCTCCTTACGTGACTCTGGGTGAGGGTTTGAGTGTGAACAGGAGGGAAAGTTGGGCTCCGGTGGACAGAAAGCAGATGCCCCTGTGTATTCAGGGTGGCTGCAGGGCAAGCCTCCCCCGCAGGTGGGCGGCAGCCTCTGGTAGAACACTGGATTCTCCGCAATGTAAAAGTGCCACATTTTAGTGGAAAGGCGTCAGGGCTGTTCGGCTGAGCACGTCTTTCCCCTTCTGTGTTTCTCCATTTGTGTGTCTGTTATAAAGCTGAGTGAAGGCTGCTATGACCTGTGTTCGCTCTGGTTACAGGGAAGAATAACCCTTTTGTCTCCCAGTCTGTCGTCTCCCTTTCTTCTCTCTCTGCCTGCTCCCAGCCCTTCCTTCTTTTGAAATGTGGCCCCCCACCCCCCTCATCTTTTTATCCATGACATCTCTTATCACAGTGGTTTTTAAATCCTGATAAAAACCAAATCAAGTTTTTTTAAAACAGACCCCCAAAAAATTGCTTTCAGAAGAATGTATATCATCAGGAAAAACCGGGGGGGAAAATCAGGGTCTATTCAAAAGAAAGGGTTGAAAACATGTACTTTTTCTACCCAATCCCATTTCACTACTTCTCTCTGAAGTTAATTGGGAACTGGGGGAGTTCTTGGAAGTTTTTTGTTTTTTAAAACTTGCCCCCCTCCCTGCTTTTCTCCACTTTGGGCCACTTATTAGTGAAACCTCATTAAATCCAACATTGGTAGGTGGATGGATTTAGGCAAACACGATGCATTTGTGGTGAGTCCGACGGCACAGCCTCCGTCCGTCCTGTAGAACGTTGTCTTTTATCCAAATTAATTGGAAACTCTGAGCTTCTGTAAGTCAGCCAAGCTTTAAAGGTAAACGTTATGATTGAAGAAGTAAGGCGCCTGACCACAAAACCTCTTGTAAAACCAGCCCTGAAGTAGGAATTCCAGGGCTCCCCTAAGATGCCTGTAGGAATCCTGAGCTGCTTTTCACCATCTGAAGACATCATCTACTTAGCCAGGTAGACAAATTCAAAACACGGGTGGGTAGGAAATGGATGAAAGAGGTCATGCATTAGTGGATCGTGGATACTGAAGAGGTTGGGACCCCTTGGAGGGACCTTGGGTACTGGGTCCCAGTCCCTGCCCTATCACTGATGCCATGTGACTTTGGCAAGTCACTTCCTCTCCCTAAACCTCTGTTTCCCAGTCCACAGACATGGGGCACAATGGTCTCCAAAGAGTCCAACTCCAAGAGTCCAAGGCATGTAAACAACCCAGGATGGACCTGTCTCTGTCCTGGATTAGTTTCTCAGAACCAACCTTGGGCATCTCTAAAGCAAAGGCCTCACTTCAAGGACAGTTCAGAAGAAAGCACCTTCGGAATGAGTCATTGCTCTAAAAGTGAATAAGCTGAGTTTCCTGGGTAGTGGTGCTTTATTTAGCCCTGTGGACAATTTCCGTATGCATCTGTGTGAGCAGGTGATCATTCTATTACCTTTTATTGGTAGTAAGCTTGGAAAAATAATTTAAGTATACAATGGAGAAATGTAAATAAGTTTCTATGTAAATTTGTTAAAGATGAAATGAATGTATTTAAAGGCCCATTTATATGTTCTTTTATGTAACATGTAGTTTAATAAAGTTCCTGTTTAAGGGAGTTGCATTTTACATCGGCTTCTTCTATGGATGTGTCTGTGTGGTTCTGCTGGGACAGTATTTAATTTCCTGTCCAGAGAGAAGCTGGGATACAGGAAGTGAAGGAGTGTTGGGACACAGCAGTCTTGTCCTTGAGAGCCAAAATGAGGCTGCTGGCTGTTTGTCATCTTGGTAGCATGGAACCTGCTCATAATTGAGGGCTCAGGGAGTGGCCTTGCCCCAGACCCGTGGGGATGCAAGCACGCGTCCGACACACAGGCCGTTGATGGAGTGTTCGGCTCGCATCATTCCATGTTGGGCCGGGCGTTGTGTAATCTCCGTGGGCCCTGCAAGTCTGGATCTGCTCCTGTGAGTCCTGTGTGTTGGCTCAGGACACCATTAGGAAATCGCAGCTCACCTCCGTCACTGGCTCAGGAACGAGCAGAGAGGGAGGGAGGTGTCGAATTATTTGAAATGCAGTGTTGGCGCATGTTTGAAAAGAAAGGGGGATTATGTGTCAGATGCACCTTATATCTAGGGTTTTATATAACGTTTCGGTCCTAGCTACCCTCCTATTCTATGTGAAGTGGGTTAGAGGGGTATCCCTGGGCCAGACGTTAACATGAGAGTCACTGATGTTCTTGTGAGCTGCTGCTTATACCCTGGACATTTAAAACCTGGTTTTGCCTGCGTGCCTGTGTTATAAACAATTTGGGACACCAGACAAGGGGTTATTAGCATAACCCCCCCTCAAATGCTTTCATTTTCCTTGTGGGTCTCAAGTAATTTTCTTTTTACCCTTTTATTTTATGGCTTTCACAAGGAACCTGTGTTCAGTCCTCGTCCCAAAGATACTCACTGAATCAAAGGGGCTGCCATTTCCTAATTGTTCATTCAAGATTCTGCATATTTAGGTGGCGTGGTGAGAGGCCCTGTAATGCTCTGGTAGAGCTATTAATTCATCAGGTGTACAAACTCATGAACTTCTGCCTCTAAGAGTGCAGTATCCTTCTACCTCCTCCCATTTGGCAGTGATGATTTTTGCAATTTCACAGAATTTTCCAACGAAACTTAAACTTTGTTCTTAGTTCTTCACTATACTTTTGCTTCACGCTCCAACCCTGCCGAAAAAATAGAAGAGGCTTTTTCTTTTGTATGTGTCCCCAAACATATAGAAGCATCAAATATATAAACCAAATTTGAATAAGGAAAATTGCATCTAGTCACTCAGTAAGTGCTTCTTAAAATTATTTGGGTTATGAGCACAAACCAAACAAAATGAGGTGCAATGGATCTGCAGAATCACCCCATTCAGCACCTATGGGGCAACAATGCGCAGCTCAGTCTGAGTCTGTAGCAGGGTTGAAAACATAGCCTAGAGGAACCTCTCCCTGGGGGCTTTTTCATACACTAATATCATCCGGTTAAAGTGTCCTATGGCTCACTGGGTCACCTAAGTTAAGGTAAGAGTAACATTCTTGTAGTTGAAAAAAATGCTTTTTCTGTCTTCTGGGCCACAGCTCTGCTCAAAAGGGGCCCCGATGGGGCTTTTGGCTTCCTGGTTGGTAGGTAGGACAATTGGACTCCACTGCAAGAGGGGACATGGCCCCAGGCAGCACTCACAGTCTGCTCATTCATGGCCCCTTTGCCAAGGGCCCACCCAGAGCCTGGCATCCCTGACTGTTCCCCTGTGGAGTGGATGCGCCTGAGTCTCTCACTGAAGCTGCCTGCTTGAAGTCCCCATTGGTAGATTCATGCCAGGCTCTTGGACTCATTCAAGGGCAGTCAAGGGCTAAGACATACAGGCAATCCCGAACTCGCAAGCAGATGCTCCCCAAGTTTGCTTGCAATTAGACCTGAGGAATTCAGAATGCACTTTCCCAGGCAACGAATCTGTCAGTGCCCTGATCTTAAACTTCCCAGGCTCCAGGCTGTGAGAAGCAAATGTCTGATGTTTGTAAGCCCCTACGTCTGGCATTCTGTTACAGCAGCCTGAATGGATTAAAAGCCATGCACAGAAGGACCGTGGCACTGATATGTCTGCAAAAGAGAACTTACTTATAGCAATGCTTCTGGGGGAAAAGGGCAGGATGCCAGGAACTTTTCTCTCTTAGCTCATGGCATCAAGTCAAGGCTAAGACACTGCCAATTTATAGGGCACTGGTAGCCAGTGAACTAATGGTCACTCTCCATTGCTGGGTAAGAAAGACCTCTTCAGTCTCAAGGTCAGTCCCTCAGGCTGCATGCAGAGGCAGACACAGGGGTTCCCCAGCTCCTGGGCCAACTCCAGGAAATATGAGCCATTTCTGTATCTGCGACTACCTTTTGTATGTTCTTCTTACTGGCCCAATAAAAGTGTACACACCTTCAGCTTTCAATTTTCCAGGAGGAAGGCTGGGTTCAGCCCCTACCCTCCTAGACAATGAACGAGAAGACAGTAGAGGTTGTGGAGAAGACAGCTGTGTGGCCAGGGTCATGGCCCCATGGACCGAGGCTAGCCGGTGGCTGGGCAAGCGGGCCACCTCTGTGAGAGCTGGGATTTTCACTGCCGGTAGTGAGCTCTCCTCAGTGCCTCCCGACTTGGAGCACCCAGCAGCACCCACAGCGTGGAGTGCTCCTGTATGTAGCGGGATCACCTGGGGCTGGCGCTTCCCGGTCCCACCCCAGACTTACCAAGGCAGAATCTTTCCAATGGGCCCTAAAATTTGCACTTTAAACAACTTCCCAGTGATTCATTTTTCATCCTGCTATTGAG